GGCCAGGCGGCCGCTGACCTGGGCCCGCCCGCAGGTTCCCTGAGGACACCCGCACCTGGGCGGTGGACCGCCAGCTGCTGTGGGGCGCCGCCCTGCTCGTCACCCCGGTGCTGGAGGCTGGCCGGGCCGAGGTGACCGGCTACTTCCCCGCCGGCACGTGGTACGACCTGCAGGCGGTGAGTAGGGCTGCGGCCGCCCTGGGTGTGGGCCGGGCGGGAGCGCGTGTGCGGCGTCCAGGCCCGGGCCAGGGCCAGCTGGCCGGGCCCTGCAGAGTGGAGTGGGGTCTCTGCTGCTCCTTCCCGAACACGGGGTCCCCTGCTCGGTGGCCTGGCCCCTGCTGAGCGAGTCCATGCCCCAAGGGCGGGCGGGCCCTGTGTGACCTGGTGCCCCCTCCAGGTGCCCGTGGAGGCCCTCGGCAGCCCCCCGCCTTCACCCCCATTGCCCCGCAAGCCTGCCATCCGCAGCGAGGGGCAGTGGGTGACCCTGCCAGCGCCCCTGGACACCATCAACCTTCACCTGCGGGCCGGGCACCTCATTCCCCTGCAGGTACCGGGGCCCGTGCCCACCGTGAAATTGAGGTCCCCCAGGCCCCTCAGCAGAGCTGGGGGTGGACAGACTAGACTTGTCGGGGTGGGGAGCCGCGTCCTTTCTTTTCGGGAAACGGTCTGTGCACACGCTTGTGGGTCCATCCTCGGGGGGGGGGCACCGCCAGCAAGCCAGGGGCAGCTGGTCCGCTAGTGGCCGGAGCCGGCGCTTGGAAGCGGGAGGCACTGGGCCCCGAGGCCCTGCTGGTCGGGTCAGGCTGCCTGGCCGTGCGAGGCTGGACAGCGGCCTGCGCCCTCCTGCAGGGTCCCGGCCTGAGCACCACCGAGACGCGCCGGCAGCCCATGGCCTTGCTTGTGGCCCTGGCCGAGAGTGGGGAGGCCCGGGGGGAGCTGTTCTGGGATGACGGGGAGAGCCTGGACACGCTGGGGAGCGGGGCCTACACCCACGTGGTCTTCCTGGCGGGGAACGTGAGTCCTGGGCCCACGCGGGGGCGGGGGCGGAGGCCGGCAAGTTCTGGAGACTTTGGGGGGGCAGGCGAGCCCCAGCGTCTGGGGGTGCAGGGGGCATGGTGCAGGCCGTCGAGGGCCCGCCCAGTGTTGCCCACTCACGCCTGCCGCCCCCTGCCGGACAGAGCACCGTCAGGAGCGAGTTGGTGCACGTGGCCAGCGAGGGGGCGGGCCTGCAGCTGCGGAAGGTGACCGTCCTGGGGGTGGCCACGGCCCCCCAGCAGGTGCTGTCTGACGGCGTTCCTGTCTCCAACTTCACCTACACCCCCGAGACCAAGGCAAGCGCCCAGGGGTCAGCCCTGGGGGGCACCTGGGTCCTGGGACGAGGGCAGCCCCCCGCTTTCCCCCGCCAGGTCAGCCTGAAGGCGGCCGGGGGCTGTCGAGGCCACCCTGTGTGTCAGGGCTGAGCGTGCAGCCCAGGGCCTGCCTGGCCGGCCCCCTCCCAGGCCGGGCCCCGCTGGCCGACTTCTCTTGTTTTGCAGACCCTGGACATCCCCGTCTCACTGACCATGGGGGTGCAGTTTCTCCTCAGCTGGTCCTGACTGGGCCAGGGGTCCTGACCTCCCGCTGAGCCTGTGGGCTCGGGGTCAGCGCCACCACCGGCCCAACGCCCACATCTGGCGAGTCCATCCCTGGCCTGGGGCTCCGGAGTTGGGTGGTGAACTGCGGTGGACGCCTCAAGGCGCCCTGGCTGAGGGCAGGACAGAGCAGGCAGCACTCAGGCGGCCGCCCGCCCGGCAAGAGCGGCCCTGACCGCGGGAGTGCGCGGACCTCGTTGGTGCGGCCTGCAAGCAGACGTGGCCCTTCCAGCACGCAGGGCCGGCAGGACACGTCCAGGCCACGGACGGGCCACTCTACCCTGTGGACACTCCTGGCCCGTGCAGACTCAGGGCAGCCGCCCCACAGCCGCCCAGCCCGGGCCAGTGCGAGCCGAGGGCGCCACCCTCAACTGTGCGAACCCCCCGTGGGCCCCCCACCCCATCACAGCCCCTCACACGTCCTGTATGCTGGTGCCTGGTGTGGGCAGCGTGGCGGGGAACGTCCCTCCCGGGAGGGGCGCCTGCTGCGCCCCGGGGTGCTGGTCCCCACTGTGGGGGGCGCCGCGCCCCCACTCGCGGTGCCTGGCGAGGAATAAAGCTGCGCTCTGCCCCGCGGCCGGCTCTTGGCGCGTGACCGTGTTGCCCTGGCAGACGGGTGGG